CTGTAAGACAGGCCCCCTGCTGCCTTCATTTCTATCCTGCTGGTTTACCGTATGGGGCGATGTCTTCTTGGTTGCGTCGTTCTTGCTAAGCACCACTTGGCAGCCAAGTGAGACTCACAGAATCATAGACTTGTGGAAGGCAAATCTACCCTCGATGGCCATCTGGTCCAACATCAAGACATCTGTAGCTGAAGCCTCCCTGACAGCTGGCCTTCCAACTTTTAACTGGAAACCTGGAGTGAAGGAGGAGGGCCCAACAGCATTCAAGAAGCACTTCCGTTGCAAAGATCTGAAATGCAAAATATCTAAGAAACCCATAAGCCTCTCTTTCAGATTCCTCAAACCTTCACATTTTGGACCCTTTCTACTGCAAAGCCATGAAAGACCCTCAGAATGAAAGGGTCTCTTTCATGTCCCCCCTCCAGTTTAGGTCAACCCCAAAGGCCCATCCTGTGTTGCCATGTTCTTGAACTCCCCAACACATGCAAAGTTTCCTGTAAGTAATTAATGAGCAACCTCTGAACTCCTGAGGATCATCATGCTGTGCTTCCCTTTGAAATTAGACTATTTAGAGGAGGTAGAACTCCCAGAATGAAGAATGATGGTATCGGTAATCCAGAAAATCCAAAATTCCATCTTTGTTCTTGGGCATTGCAGTCTTGTGCTGGCAGGTAATTAAATTTCATTCATCTCACTTGGGCTGTAACCTTTTCAATAAAATCTCTTCTCCCTTGGTCAGTCACTGTGGTTTCCTGTCATTGTGAACCTCAACTCTGACTCACCAAAACACAAACCGCAGAGACTGGGGAAAAATAAAATAAAATCCTAAGAACACTCGATTAGATAAACTGCCTGCCATTCCCCCATTGGCCAGAAAGAGGTTTAAGGTATCTCAAAATCTTGACATGTTGGCCACCGTCCATTGGCCAACAAAAGGTCAATAAGACAAGGTCTACAGACTCTTCGTACAGTGGTGAAGGGAATCGGTGCCACTGAACAGCAGAATGAATGGTGACTAAGCTTGGATGCCTAAAACTTTTCATAACAAACTAGCCTTGTCACCCAGCTGTGTCTGGACATGCTCATTCACTGTTTCCCACACAAGGAGATTTTGTTAGAATAGGGCAATAAGTCCTGAAGAAAAAAAGAATCCCATTGTATCTGCAAGAACAGCAAAGGGAGGAGAGTGTCTCAGTTATTCTTGGATATTCACAAAACGTTTCCACACAAATGAGACAAATTGTGTACATTGTGTAAATGGGGAGGTTGCATCGCTACAGTATTTGTCCCTTAGCGATGTGGGATGGACCCTTGGCTTCATCTTCACGGCCAGACCGTTCAAAGCTTTGGATGGGTTGCTTGTGTCTTTTTGAGCCACCAGCCTCCCTTCGGGCACTTGCAATGTGTGTGCCCTCATTTTCGAAAGGAAAGAGCACTCATTTTGTTCAGAGGTATTTTGTGCACAATGCAGAACCCTGATTGGAAAGCTGCCTGTTGTCTCCCTCTCATGTTGAAGGGGAGAACGGTTGCAGTGGGTTGATTAGCTCCAAAGCCTGTTATCAGTTACGTAACTCCCACCCAGCCATGGGAGCAATAGCAACCCTGCAGGGTGTTTTGAGATTTTAATTCTTTGCAGAAGGAGGAAAGAGTTCATTCCTTCTGAACAGCTTGTGTTAAAGAAGAAAAGAAGAAGAAAAATGAATAATATGAATAAATGTTTTTAACGATTTTTTAAACAGGGCCTTCTCTGTGGCTGCTCCACAACTCTGGAACTCCCTTCCACTGGAGGCCCCAACTTTGCTGTCCTCCTGCAAGCAGATGGAGACCTTTTTCTCCAGGCAGGCTTTCCCACAGAGATTGTCTAGGGAAGACTGAACATTGAAACCTAGGGAAGCTGTGGCCCATTTTTCCATGTGGTCTCTGCATTCTAAACCATATTTCTGAAGGACTGCAATGTTGGCCAGTCAGATTCTTAAATGCTTAGTGCTTTTATAGCATTTTCTATTCCTAGCAATTAGTCAGACCTCTTCTGGGAGAAGTCTAAATGTCTATTGTATTGGGGGAATACTCGAGATAGGACAGTGAAGGGCCTTCCAGCTTTAGAGCCTTCTTGTCTTCACCTTCTCCTTCCAAAATGTAAGCTTCAGTATCAGAAGGCTGGCTAGAATCCATGGTTGTTTCTGATGTGGAGCATTGGATCTAAGATCATATCCCCAGCAAGATTAGTCTACAGGTAAGAGTGAAATTCCTGTGATAACCTATGTCCCAGAAACATTGAAATGCACATTTAATCCCCAGGTTCCTTGACTCGGCTGCTGGCGCCTTCTGTCTTGTCTCCCCCATCCCACACAGTTACTCCTAACCCTCTGCTTGCAATCTGGGGCTCCAGTAACGACTTATGCAAGCAAAAAGACCCCTTCTCTCCAGTCAGACAATACCTGTCCCGTGTAACTACAAGCGGGAAACCACCAGGCACGGGGTTTTTGTATTGTTTAATCAACAGTCCCCAGAGGTCTGCAGAAATTCCTCCAGCCAGATTTTTGGGGTTTTGTGGCCAAAATCACCCAGTCCTTTCAGGGGGCTTTAATGACTTCCGGCTGTGAAATAATGCCTTCTCTCTGACATGGTGAAGACAAGAGGCAGTGGCTCAACTGGGATGACCTCCCAGGGGATGGCAAGGCATTATAGGCCTGGTAGTTTCCTAAGAGCCTCCCTGTATGGAGCGTAAGATGCAGGGAAGCTAACAGACCCATAAGCCTTACATAACTTATTCCTGCTCAGCCACTTGCTCCGTCTTCATCAGGTCCAAGACAAGAAATTATTTGAGAGTTGAAGGTGATTATAGACATCTGAAAGGACTGGGGGTGTTGTTGTTGTTGCTGTTGTTGTTGTTGTTGTTGTTGTTGTTGTTAACTTCCGCAGATGTCTGACTGGGGGAATTCCTGCAGACTTCTGGAGGCTTGTAGTCCATGAATTCTGAAAATCTCATGCCCCGGTGGTTTATTCCATTGACGTGGGTGATGTCATTGAGGGAAAATGAGGCCAAACAAGGACAACGTCATTAAACAACTGCTTTCACAAGGCCTGCTCCCCAAATTATCAGACGATGGAGTGGGTGGGATTTTCATCTCTGCTGAAAAAAAAAATGTTTTCAAAAATCAATTGGTAATTTGAGCCCAAATCTACCCTAATTAAAAACGAGCTTTCGCTTGATGTCCACTGAGATCTCAGTCTAATTATTTTCTCTCAATTCGTGCATCTGATAAACTATATCAATGCCTAGCACAGTCCTTTCCCCTTTACACCAAGACTCCTCTAAGGGATACAGCTCCTTGTTGGTTCTTTCGTCAGCGCCGCACTGAATATTTTAAGGTACCTTTCAAAAGTAGCACCAGCGTCATTCGTTGCTGGCATTGTTTTGAAGTTGTGGGATGTTTTGTAAGTCTTGTTACAGAAGGCGCACACATGGACGTATCGGCCCATTGAAGCTTCAGAATCTGCCTCCATTTTGAATGCTCTGTGGTGACGGACCATGATGTCATCACAGCCCGGTGACATCATTGGCTAAATCACATGAGGCACCCAAGCCGGAGTGGGACAAAGAACAAAGCAGGACATTTGAGGACGTTCTCCGACAGAGGAGTGGGAAAGGTCCACAATAACAATAGGGAATCCCATCTAACCTAAAAGGAAGTCATGGACGTAAATGAACATAAAATGAAGTCTATCTCCCTCGTTCTTTTTATTGGTCCAGAAAGGTGTTCTTGAGGATGAAGAAGACTCAAGGACGGGAGATCCATCACTGATCTTCACATTCTGAAAGGGAGTCAGAGGGACTAGGAGAGGGTGGAAAGAAAATAGAAGGGGTTCCCTCTTGTATCAAAGGCAGCCACTGTTGTTCAAAGCCAAATAAATAATTCTCTCCACCATACCACTGGCCTGCCTGAATAATGCAGATTAGAGCAATTGCCAACAAGCATTGCTGGAATGGTTTTGCCCAGGCACCTGATCCGTTAGGACTTTGTTACAGGGAAGAAAACTTGTTTTTCAACGTGACCCACCTAGGGGAGAGCCCCACTCTACCTCCTTCAGTGGGCAGACATGTGCATGCGTGGAGAGTAAAATACTTTGAGGCTAAGTCGAGAAAGGTTGGTCGTTTCTGGCGAGCTTCAACTTGTTTCCCCTCCTGAAGAGCAAAGGTGGAGACGAGGTGTCTTTGAGAATCACATCAAAGAGAATAGCTGTTGATGGAAAGGATCCGGCCATCCAGATGCCTTTGAACAAAGGCAAGCTGCCCTGTGGGCTTTATAATTATGAACAAGACATGAAAGAGGGAGAAAACAGAGGTTGATGGATCATTGCATAACGGTCATCTGGCTGGATTTCAGGAATTTATTTCATTCTTTTGGCTTGGAGAAGAACTTTGAGTTATTTGTTGACTTCACAGGAATTCCAGTGTATAGAGATGGGTTTAGGGTTAAGGTTGGGTTGAAGGTAGGGTTGAGGGTTACATTTAGAGTTAATATTGTTAGAGTCATGGTTAGAGTGAGGATGTTAGGTTTAGAGGTGTAAAATTCTCCCCCCAAAATCAATTTTTTTCCTGAAAAAAAAAACAGGGGGGAAATGTTTTGGGGGGTTTTTTTGGAATAAAATGGAAATTTTTGGAAATGTTACATCGCTAGTTAGGTTAAGGCAAAAGTTTAAATTTAGTGTATGGTTTAGTCTTAGGGTTACCGGTGGATTTTATGGAGTGTCAGGATCTGGAGGGCTGGCAGTTGCAGGATCGGGGCCAGCTGGGTCCCAGGAAGAGCCCAGTGTTTGCAGGATCAAGCCCTGCTGGAGCAGAAGGTACCAGGGCTCTCATGAGGTCCACCTGAGAGTCTTGAGAGAAGGCCTACTTAAGGAAGGACTCTTTCCCTCCCAGAAGCTGCTTCAGCACTATAGGTCTTTGTCTGTTTTTGTGGTCTTGAGCCTTGTACTTTCCTATTTTGGCTAGTTGGTCCATGAGTGAGATTGGGCTTGGCCCTCTGTGCTGTTGACTCGGTCCCGATGCCCTTGGCCCTGCTGTTGAAGTCAACCATGGACAACCCGGTCCCTGACATGGAGTAAGTGTTTGGGTAATTCTTAAGGTTTCTCTTGGTGTTAGGGTTGGCAGAAGAGTTAAACTTGTTCATCTTGTATTTCTTGAATTTACTCAGAATGTCGGTGTCTAGGCTTTGGTTTCATCCACCTGTTGGTGAAATGCCTACCTTGTGAAACACATTCTCTGCAAGGTTTGCAAGGGGACATGATTCTGGGACCCTGGGAGGCCCAGTTCAAGTGAAGGAGCTTTAACTGAAGTGTCAAACACCTTTACAAATGTATTGGAGGAAAAAAAATCTGCCATGTACAGATGGATAAAAATAGTTTTGGCTAGGAAATAATACAGTTTTTGTACAAACATAGCCAGTTTCACAGTATGCAGAGATATTCACAGAAAAGCCCAAGGGTTATTTAAAATGAGTATGTCAAATTTGCAATAGAATTCAGTAGTAAAAATAAGAAATGTGTTCCACTGTGCTCTTTAGGGGTGGTTGCATTTGTTAAAATAATGTTACAAATGCATTAAATTAGGAAAACTGCTTGTATGAATCTGTATATTAGGCAAAAGTACAGTAGGACCCCTGTATCCTCGGAATTTCTATCCACCGCTTCACCTATCTGCAGTCTGAAAATATTAAAAGGAAAAAAAACTTTGAAATAAATATTTTCATAATGTACTTACCAGAACTGGTCACTAGAGGGAACCATAGACCACACAGTGTATTCTTGTTAGAATACATAGCATGGTCTCTTGCTCCTTCTAGTGGCCAGGTCTGGTAATGCAGGGTGAAAATACTTTTTTTTCTGAATTCACAATTATCCACAGTTTTTAGCATCTGCAGGAGGGCTTGGAACCAATCTCCTGTGGGTCCTACAGTATAATCGTGGATGCACTGGGCCATAAATGCATAGTTTTTCCATGCAAGTGTAGAAAAAAGAGGGGCAAAAATCCTGATGTTCATGATGCGATGGATAGAAACTTAAAAACAAAACAAGCCTTTGAAAAACTAAAAAGTTGGGGGAAAGAGAAGAAACTGAGGGGGGAAGCAAAATTGGCAGGTTTATGCATCTGCTGGCAGTATGATCAAGCAAGTATTACTGGATCTCCTGGCTATAACAAGAGCATGGGGAAACTGGAAAGAGACTGGGGGGGCAGTTATGACCCACTGATGCTTCTGGGAGGAAGCAGGAAGGAGAGGTGCAGCTACATAATTCCATTCTGGGAGAGCACATACACAGCTGAGGAGACAAGCAAGTAAGGCAGCTGCTTTACTGTATGCATCTGTGCCAAAAAAAAATTATGTCTGGGAAAGGAAATCTTGAGACAAGTCGTAGCAGAGAAGTGACTGTAATTTCAAGAAATGACCTAATTTGAACAGGCTGCTTATGATGCGATTCAATTATAGAACTGAATTTTGAATTCTACTCCCAGGTGCAAAACCGGGGCACATTTTGGGGCCTTGCGTGGCCCCCACCTTTGATTTGAGCAGCACATTCATCCCCAGTCCCTGGGAAAGTTTGTCTCCTGCTCATCAGCAACATTTTTGTTCATATGCTCCTACTGCGAGTGTGCATTTTGTGCTTTGGCACGGAGGCTGGCCTTTTCAGATTTCAAAATTGTACGTTGCATTACAATTGCACCCAGTGCCCTTTTGCCCGCTTTCCAAACATGTGCATATTGTCAAGTTCTCCTGCCTTAGTAGGAGGTTGGACTTAGAAGACCTCCAAGGCCCCTTCCAACCCTACGATGATTCTGTGAAGTTCACTGCCCTTTCCCTTTTGTGGAATGCATTAGTGCCAATATTTTTTTTTGGAAGACAGATTCCATAGTTCTCCATTCTGGGAGTCCTAGGTAAAGGTTCCCCTTGACAATTTGTCCAGTCGTGTCCGACTCTAGAGGGTGGTGCTCATCTCCGTTTCCAACTCACAGAGCTAGCGTTTGTCTGCAGACAATCCTCCGTGGTCACATGGCCAGCGTGACTAGACACGGAAGGCTGTTTACCTTCCCACTGAGGTGGTACCTATTTATCTACTTGAATTTTGCATGCTTTCGAACCGCTAGGTTGGCAGGAGCTGGGACGAGTGACGAGTCTCACTCCATCGTGTGGATTCGATCTTATGACTGCAGGTCTTCTGACCTTGCGGCACAGAAGCTTCAGCGGTTTAACCCGCAGCGCCACCACATCCCACCTTTGGGAGTCCTACTGACATTAAAAAAAAAACCCTCAGCGTGAGGCACCTGGAGGAGCGGACTAAGTTTTTGAGGCTTAGCTAGGCCTAGCTTCACCTGAACTTCCTTCTCAGAAAGAAAGCTCCCAGCTAGCACTGGGGCAAGAGCAGGAAGTTAGGTGGAGCTAGGCCTAGTTCAGCCTCAGAGCCTTCTGCTTAAGGCCTTTCTCCCAGGTGAGTCACATTCCGGTGTTTGTTTGGCACCTGTAAGGTGGGTAGAACTCCCCAAATGAAAACTACAGCATCTGTCATTCAGAAAATCCAAAACTCTCATCCTTAGAATACATGATATGCCTGGGAAAGTGCTGGTTTTTAAGCGCAACTTGTATTCAGTTCTGCAAATGGATTTGGGTGCTGGGAAATGGAGCCCATCCATTTAAAAACCCTCAACAGGACAAATTTTCCACTCATTCCAAAAAAATAGCTTGCTCTGTCCATCCGTGGTGGTGGTGCTGGTCTTGGTCAAAGGCGCAGGGGTATCCTTTTCGTTATGTTGTGGGCAGGGTCCACTCCTTGGGAACACAGCATCTCCTTTTGCTGTCTCGGAACAATTTAGTGGGGTGTTGCCTAGACAACCGGAGCTCCCCCACACTGCTGCTTTATTTGGAGAGACAGCCTGACAGCGTTCGCTTCTTGACACGCACACGCAGACAAAATAGAAGATTTGGGTGTCGCAGGAGATGCCCTCCCTGAAATGACAGGGGCTTTGTGGCTTCGTGCCCCAAATTCTGAGCTAGCGGGAAACATGGAGCCATCGGAGTGTTTTTGCTCAGCTGGCGGTGTCCTCGGGCCCCCAGCTTCCTTCCTTGACCTGTCCAAGCGTACCGTGAAGTGTGCAGTTAGTGGAGATGATTGAAGAATCCTGAGACAAAAAAAAAGCAGCTCGGATCATTTCTTCTTTCTATCAGTACAGTGGTTAGGGAGTATCTGCAAAAGGGGGAAGCGATGAAGTGTACGCTGACTGTATATCATCAGGGTAGAAGGTCTGGTGTTACAATGACCGAGCATCCTTCTACTCACCCAAAAAGAGGTCAGCGATCAAGGGGACACTTAACAAAGGAGCTGAGGCATGGAGAAAATGAAAATGAGGGTAGACTTGTGGGCTGCCAGTCTCCCAAGCATCCTCTGTGTGAACTGAAGATGTAATAAATATTCATGATTTTTATTGGTCTGAATTAAAAAAAGGGGGATATTGAGTGCCGCAGAGTTTTGAATTTTGGTTAAATTCCTCCTGCTGCACAGCAGGCGCAGGGATTCACAGAGGAGAATGAGCATCAAGTTCTTCAAATTAGTCCATCCTTTTTTTCCCCCCTCATAAACTGACACTTGGCAGTCTCAGTAACTTACTCTGAGACATTTGTAAGAAGAAAGAATAAAGGGTTTCATTTACTTACAGCTGAACGACAAACTGAGCAGAACATGGCTAGCTTACTTTCAGGGACAGGTCTCGAGAGACTCACTGCTTGAGCAGACTGACTGACGACTATGGAGCAAACATCTAACAGTCAGTAGAGAAAAGAGGGGGGAGATGAAAAGCAGAGAGACGGGGCTCTTCTTGAAATCAGAGGCAGGGGAGGAATGATTGGTTAGTGTTGGAAAGATTGACAGTCACCTAAGCACAGAAAGGTCCCTCCCAGCAGCATCTATTGGAGGCAGCCTGCGAGGTTGCAAAAGCTCCTGACACTGAGATGGTCAATTATGGTGAGATTTTTTAAATCCTCCATCAGAACAACAGCAGCAACAATAACAAAAACAGAGTGTGTGTACCAGTTAATCATCAGCAGCACTAACAAAAAGTCTTGTCTTTTGTGCTAATAATGTTGCATTGTGCATCAAAAGGGTCCTGTTTTGCACAACACGCAATGTTCCTTGCACACAGCACAATTTTCTTTGGATTTTTTGTTGTTGTTGCTGCCGCACAGAGTTGCCGTCTATTCGGACAAAACCTACTTTTGCCCAACCCCCTGGTTTCTGCTGAATTTTCACGAAAACCTGCCCTAAATGAAAGAGAAAATAAAAAGAAGAGAAAAAAAAGAGAGAGAAGATTTTTAAAAACACACTCATAATCACACCTTTGGGAGTGGGTGGGACTTTTTAAATGGTTCACACTCACCTTCAAGAATGAAGGGAGCAAAGATTTATTTCCGAAGCATAGGCTCAGTCGGGAATTGAACCTCCGAACCTCTGCAGCCAGAGACCTAAACCACTGAGAGAGAGAGAGAGAGAGAGAGAGAGAGTGTTTTGCAGGTAACCATCGACTTCAAAGTGTTGATGCTTACGTATAAAGCCCTAAACGGCTTAGGGCCTCGATACTTGGTGGAACGCCTACTTCCACCAAGTTCTACCCGTGTCACACGCGTGAGTCAGGAGGTGAGGCTGAGGAGCCTGACGCCGAGAGAGGCCCGGAAAGAAAAGACAAGAAATTGGGCCTTCTCGGCGGTGGCTCCTCACCCCTAGAATAATCTTCCCCCTGACATTCGCGTGGCTCCCTCGCTGGGTATTTTCAAAAATCAATTAAAAACACTGATGTTTTGGCAGGCCTTCCCCTCAGCTAATTCCTGATTTTCCCTTTTTCCTGATTTTGCCCCATCTTGTTTAATGTTTTTCCCCTTATTTAAAATTGTTTTAATTATATTGTTATATGTCTGTTGTAAACCGCCTAGAGTGGTCCTGAGGGACTAGATAANGTTCCAGACACCCAGGCTTTTAGAGAACCACTTCTGCAGCATAGATAAGATAAAGACCACCAGGCCTATAGAAAGGGATGTAAAAAAAAACCCGAGCGGGTGTAGAGAAAATGAAGCCGTATTCTCGGGGGTTAGAGTAATCGGCAGAGCCTCGAGATGGATGCCCTGTCAGACCGACTTGTGCATTGCAGCCTTCTTTCCTTGCGAGAAGAGATTTCCAATTGCATTAACAGAGTTAGACCAAGCTTCAGATGGAGTCTGACAAGCCATTATAAATGACAGCCGGGCCAAGAATTTTTATTAAAGAAGGCTCCTGCTTTAATGTTCTCCCTGGAAATCTGAACTCTTGACTTCTCCCCAGTGGTGACCGGCATTTACTTGCTGACGTGCGAGAGTAGGGAACGGTCGTCCGTGTTGGCTTTCAATTACTTTTCTTCAGATTCCGGCGCGAGGCAGGCCGGGCAGACGGAAAGTACGGGAGGTCTGCTTGGCCGTTTCGCAGCCGGAGGTGGGTGAGGGTAGTTGAACATGCAGCCCACAGCGCCTCCGTCACGTGTCACCCAAATGGATCAACCACGTGTAGAGCTAAAATATCGAAGGGGAAAACTGAGGGATGATACAATAGCACTTTTCAAAGACTTGAAAAGTAGTCCTACAGAGGAGGGGCAGGATCTGTTCTCGATCATCCCCAAGGGCAGAACAGGTAATAATGGCCGCAAGCGACAGGAAGCCCGATTTTGTATGGATATCAGGAAAAACACCTTAACTGTTAGAGTAGTACAACAATGGAACCAATGACCTCATAGGGGAGATGGTGAGCACTCTGACTCTGGAGGCCTTTGAGAGAAAACTGAACAACTCTCTGTCAGATGTGCTTTGATTTGGATTCCTGCCTTGAGCAGGGGGGTTGGACCTGATGGCGTTATAAGCCCCTTCCAATTGAATTATTCTGGGATTCTATGGATACATCTAGTCAACCCACCCATGTTGGATTCCACCAGCCAAGCAGGGAGTCCGGCTCTGGCTTGCTGTAGCTTGAGCCCATTATAGTGTGTCTTGCACTCTGGGACAACTCGGAACAAATCCTGACCCTCCTCTGTATAGCTACCTGTCAAGTACAGTGGTGCCTCGCTTTATGATTGCCCCGCATTACAATGAAACTGCTTAACGACTATCTTTTTGTGATCGAAATTGCGATTGCAAAATGATGGTCTGAATGGGGGAATGTCGCTTTGTGATGATCGGTTCCCTGCTTCGGGAACAGATTCTTCGAAAAATGGCGTTTTTTGAACAGCTGATTGGTGGTTTCAAAATGGCCGCCGGGTGATTAAAATGGCTCCCCGCTGTGTTTAGGGATGGATTCCTCGCTATTCAGGCACCAAAAATGGCTGCCGTATGGAGGATCTTCACTGGACGGTGAGTTTTTACCCCATTGGAATGCATTGAACGGGTTTCAGTGTGTTTCAGTGGGGTTTTTATTTTCACTTAACAGCGATTTTCCTGGAACAGATTATTGTCGTTAAGCGTGGCACCACTATATTTGCAAAATGCTCTTCAGTCTCCCCTCTGTCTTCTTTTCTCAAGGCTAAACATGTCCAGCTCTTTCCGTCTTTCTCTTAGGGCTTGGTTTCCAGTCTCCTGATCATCGGTTTCCCTGATGGACAGACACCTTGATAACGGGGGCGGGGGGGCACTTCTGTGGTTAACATTGGGCGCATGGTTGAGGGAAAGGCATAGCAGATTTTGATCAGTAGGTAAACGGGGCTGGCTTGAAACTCATTTCAAAATGGTGAATTAGTTTTGTTCCTCCTTATGAAGAAAAGAGGAGCATTTTCAGTCTTTTTCCACTAGCTAAATGGTCAGCCACCATTGGTATTCACCATAAACTCTCTCGGGGTGTTTGTTTACAAAGTTTCTACCTGCCCTAAGAAGGACCCAAGGCAGCTGACATCGTTCAAAGACAATATTTAAAGCTATAAACAATAAATAATACTAAAAAGGATCAAACAAATGGCATTCTGAGAAATGGTAAGCAGAAACGACATCAAAACATGTTCAAAGCACTAAAACACAGCAATCCATTTAAAGCAGCCACAGTCACTCAGGGAAAGCCTGCCCGAAGAGAAAGGTTTTTCTCTGCTTACGGAAGGCCAGCCAAGACAGGGCCTGGTTGGCCTCCAGTGGGAGGGAGTTCCAGAGTCCAAAGGAGCAGCCACCGAGAAGGCCCTCTCCCGTGTCCCCACCGGATGCATTTGTGAAGGTGGTGGGATCAAGAGAAAGGCCTCTCCCTGATGATCTTGACACCCAGGCAGGCTTATAATGGGATCTGGCAGCTCCATGGTAATGCAGCATCTCCCCAAGGGACTTCTGGGAGATTAAAATAGCAGCCTCCAGCCCCCCAAAAGAGGTGGTGCAAAACTGAACTGCAGAACTGGTTCTGGTGTTGGAAGATAAGATGCTGTCTTTTACACAGGCAGAATGCTTATGGTCTCTTATTGCATTAATCTTAATTTCCTGTGTTATTGCCATTGTGGAATTTAAGGCAGTATTCAGGATGCAAGGGAACCATCTGTAGGATGTAGCAAATGCAGTTGTTTTTAGTTCTCGGTGAGAAAGGAGGTCACCACACAGCATGTTTCTAGTTCTCAGTGAGAAAGGAGGTCACCAGACAATATATTGACAGTGACTATGATGTTTTTCATACCTGCATGACAGCAATAAAACGTTGGCTTTTTGAAAACAGCAGCTGTGGTGTTAGTAAAAAGCAGGGGGGAAAGATGACAACATGCAAGAATAAAACAAAACAAGATTACAGTTTGATGAATAAAAGCCTGGGATGTTGCACCCAAAGGTTTTTAAATAACGTGAGAAAGTTTGGGTGCAAAGTAGCTTTCTTCTGGTGCTTGTATCCCTTTAGGTAAATTTTCTGTACCAAAAATAAAATCTTAAAATGGCAGAACAACATCGACAAAAGTAAAAAGGTATTATGTTGTTGATCAGGGAACATGTTTTTAAATGAACATGTCCCTTGAATTACACAGGTCCGAACAGTATGGTTTTGATTCTATACAGATTTTTTTGCCCCAAAATAAAACATCCCAACGAATGAATGAATATTCAATAAAGAAATACTCAATAAATGCCATGCCCTTGGCCACACAGAACCCCATGAGGTCAATACCAAAGGTGTCAAAGTGATCCAATTGCCCCCAAATAAAATGTCTCTCATTCAGCCTCTAGATCAGGGGGTCCCAAGGATGTTTAAGGCTCAATTAAATAGAGTAATCTATGGAAAGACTTGTCAATGTTATGGAAGAGAACGCCGATAGCGAGAAACGTTCCTTCACTCCTGCGTTGTCAAAGGGAGATGGGCAGTTCATGTCGGTCCCGTTCCCCAAAACGACGTTGAGAGATGCTTTCCATCCGGGAAGGGCGCAGGCAGAAAAGGATGCTTAAAAAAACAGGAAGGACAAAAGTCGACTCCATACGACTGGAGTGACCTCACAAGGCCAGCCTCTGGCTGTTGCCAAGACCGAGATTTGGGCCTGACCTCCAGGTGTTGTGGTTTTTTGTTGTTGTTGTTAAATGGCTACGTTTGAGTCCCGAGCAACCCATTCGGTGCTTGGTGTTGTTAAGTGTTTGCGCGTCTCTGTGCCGAAGCCTGGAAATATGATAACAACCTTTGTGCCTTCACCGAAAACTTGCTAGAAGGGTACGATGAAAAGCCACTTGAGGAATAAAGGCTAGAAGCGGGACGTTGGAACTGAAAAGAATGGTGCCCTTGGCTGGTTTTTCATTGTTTTATAGCTAACACTGTCCCCCTGTTTTTCTCTTCCCAGGTCAGGTGATCCTGTGAGAAGCCATGCTTGGATTTTAATAGCCATGTTTCAACTTGCCATGGATTTTGCTTTCTGTGCGTCGCTGGGGCAAGGCCCTTGGCACCAGTTGTTACAAAGACCTCCTCACCGCTATGGATTCCCTCATCACCCTTTGCGGAGTCTTAGGTTCGCGCCGCACGCGAGGAGACTTGGGATTACGGGGAGCCACGCGTTCCACTCCTTGGGACGTTCGAAGGACCGCATGCCAAACCTGCATCATTCCAAAAGGCTTCACAAAGCCGCGGACCTTCTCTGGAAAAGCAGGCGGCCCGAGCGCTTTGCGCCGGCGAGATCCGGCCCTTCTTTAATCCTGGAGAGTACAGATTCCCAGACGTCGCTGAGGAGGCGGAAACGGTACCTGCGGGCCATCGGCAAGCCCACGCTGGAGACGGAGGTGATCGTGTGGGGCTCGACGAGTCCTCTCGACGCCCTGGAGACCAGTACCCTCCCGGGGATTTACGAGGGCTCCACCGCCTCGGTTTTACAAAGCACGACCACCACTGCCACCACCGTCACCACCACCGTCACCACCACCGCAGCCGCTTCCACGACCGTACAGCCGAAAGGGCCGGGCCCTGGGATTGGCGCGCCTCGAAACAACCCGGGTGGGGTTAGCACAATGGTTCCTCCAGCCACCTCTGACGGGAGCAGGAAAGAGGTGGACGCCCCTCCACCTAAGATCCCAGGAGACAGTTCAGGTATATCTTGATAGTTCTGTTGCTTGTGGGCTTCCTCATGGCTTTGTTCTAACTCTTTGGACCCAAAGGAAACACACACACATATATTGACAGTGACTATGATGTTTTTCATACCTGCATGACAGCAATAAAACGTTGGCTTTTTGAAAACAGCAGCTGTGGTGTTAGTAAAAAGCAGGGGGGAAAGATGACAACATGCAAGAATAAAACAAAACAAGATTACAGTTTGATGAATAAAAGCCTGGGATGTTGCACCCAAAGGTTTTTAAATAACGTGAGAAAGTTTGGGTGCAAAGTAGCTTTCTTCTGGTGCTTGTATCCCTTTAGGTAAATTTTCTGTACCAAAAATAAAATCTTAAAATGGCAGAACAACATCGACAAAAGTAAAAAGGTATTATGTTGTTGATCAGGGAACATGTTTTTAAATGAACATGTCCCTTGAATTACACAGGTCCGAACAGTATGGTTTTGATTCTATACAGATTTTTTTGCCCCAAAATAAAACATCCCAACGAATGAATGAATATTCAATAAAGAAATACTCAATAAATGCCATGCCCTTGGCCACACAGAACCCCATGAGGTCAATACCAAAGGTGTCAAAGTGATCCAATTGCCCCCAAATAAAATGTCTCTCATTCAGCCTCTAGATCAGGGGGTCCCAAGGATGTTTAAGGCTCAATTAAATAGAGTAATCTATGGAAAGACTTGTCAATGTTATGGAAGAGAACGCCGATAGCGAGAAACGTTCCTTCACTCCTGCGTTGTCAAAGGGAGATGGGCAGTTCATGTCGGTCCCGTTCCCCAAAACGACGTTGAGAGATGCTTTCCATCCGGGAAGGGCGCAGGCAGAAAAGGATGCTTAAAAAAACAGGAAGGACAAAAGTCGACTCCATACGACTGGAGTGACCTCACAAGGCCAGCCTCTGGCTGTTGCCAAGACCGAGATTTGGGCCTGACCTCCAGGTGTTGTGGTTTTTTGTTGTTGTTGTTAAATGGCTACGTTTGAGTCCCGAGCAACCCATTCGGTGCTTGGTGTTGTTAAGTGTTTGCGCGTCTCTGTGCCGAAGCCTGGAAATATGATAACAACCTTTGTGCCTTCACCGAAAACTTGCTAGAAGGGTACGATGAAAAGCCACTTGAGGAATAAAGGCTAGAAGCGGGACGTTGGAACTGAAAAGAATGGTGCCCTTGGCTGGTTTTTCATTGTTTTATAGCTAACACTGTCCCCCTGTTTTTCTCTTCCCAGGTCAGGTGATCCTGTGAGAAGCCATGCTTGGATTTTAATAGCCATGTTTCAACTTGCCATGGATTTTGCTTTCTGTGCGTCGCTGGGGCAAGGCCCTTGGCACCAGTTGTTACAAAGACCTCCTCACCGCTATGGATTCCCTCATCACCCTTTGCGGAGTCTTAGGTTCGCGCCGCACGCGAGGAGACTTGGGATTACGGGGAGCCACGCGTTCCACTCCTTGGGACGTTCGAAGGACCGCATGCCAAACCTGCATCATTCCAAAAGGCTTCACAAAGCCGCGGACCTTCTCTGGAAAAGCAGGCGGCCCGAGCGCTTTGCGCCGGCGAGATCCGGCCCTTCTTTAATCCTGGAGAGTACAGATTCCCAGACGTCGCTGAGGAGGCGGAAACGGTACCTGCGGGCCATCGGCAAGCCCACGCTGGAGACGGAGGTGATCGTGTGGGGCTCGACGAGTCCTCTCGACGCCCTGGAGACCAGTACCCTCCCGGGGATTTACGAGGGCTCCACCGCCTCGGTTTTACAAAGCACGACCACCACTGCCACCACCGTCACCACCACCGTCACCACCACCGCAGCCGCTTCCACGACCGTACAGCCGAAAGGGCCGGGCCCTGGGATTGGCGCGCCTCGAAACAACCCGGGTGGGGTTAGCACAATGGTTCCTCCAGCCACCTCTGACGGGAGCAGGAAAGAGGTGGACGCCCCTCCACCTAAGATCCCAGGAGACAGTTCAGGTATATCTTGATAGTTCTGTTGCTTGTGGGCTTCCTCATGGCTTTGTTCTAACTCTTTGGACCCAAAGGAAACACACACACACACTGTGCGTGTGTGTTTTGTACACGTGCATGAGGGCAATCGAGAGTGGCCTGCCGCCTACCACGATACCGGAGAATCGTATTAATTGATGGCCACACTATTTCTTAACAGAAGAAAGCTGTTTAGGTCTCTTCCAGAGCACTTGCCATGTTTGAAACGCCGTATTTTTCTCTTGCTTCAAGAACATAATATCTGGGTAATATCTGATGCTGGCATGGCAGGTAATTGTGAAGGAAGAAGGCAGTGTTTGTGGGGAGATATTGGTATGACATGAGCAAGGATGGCAAGTTACACGGTTTTGTGGAGAACACACATTTTTTGTCTGTGTGTGTGAAAAAAGGAAGGTTTCATTTATTGTTATTTTGGTGGTTCTATTGGAGCTCAAAGGGTACCCGGTGTGGTGCGGCCAAGTGCGTAAAGTGGTGGGGCTAGGACTGAGGAGACTTGAGTTCAATTCCCCCTCTCTACCATGGGAAATTTCTAGAGGGTTGCAACCGATAAAACCACTCCTTAAATATATCACCTTTGAGAGATATGATAAGTCAGTTCCGGCTTGGCAGGAAATAACCATCTCAATCCTTTTCCAGCCAGGGTGAGGAAAACTGTGTGGCTTCATCGAATCCCTTTCTTTTCTGCTGTCGCTCGCAGGAGATCCTTGTTGATTTCTAGCAGTGGATCCCGGGTCCCCTCAGTAAACGGCAGATCCCGGCGTTCCAGAAGGGAGAGTGCTGGCGGTGAAAGTCAGATCAAACAGCTGGCGCTGTTGGACGTAGATGTGCCCTCTCATGTTGGCATGGGAGTGGAGCCGCATCATTCCTTGCCCCCAATAGTATGAGAGAAATATTTTTGTAGGGGAAATATAAATCTAGTTTTTCCCCTCCTTTATCTTTCCTCCCAAGTCAGGCACGCTAATCCTAGGCCCCTGTCATATCCTCACCATTTTCTTGCTTATCGCTCCTCTGCCATTTTGTAGCCGATTAAAGAAAAGTCACACTTCCATTTTTCTCAGCTCTGAAGCAATATTCCCACACAGACTTGCATGCGATTAAGTTCCTGTCCCTCACTCCCAGGTCTCTAATAGTTTAAATTCTAGGAGTTCTTCACAGGGAATGTTTTTATAATAATAATAATAATAATAATAATAATAATAATAATAATAATAATAATAATAATAATAATAATAATAATAATAATAATAATAATAATAATAATAATAATAATAATAATAATAATAATAATAATAATAATAATAATAATAATAATAATAATAATTTAAATGTGAGTTTCGTGAAAATGTTTGGCCGCCGAACAAACAGGACTTTTGATCCATCATTTTTATGTGAGGCGCTCACCGGGGGGGGGGGGCTTAAATGGGGTTTGGCCGTAAGCTCCATAAATCTGCAGGGCATGAGTGTAATCGAATTTAAGCACCCTGCTTTTCCCCTCATAATGCTCGCCCTACCGATTTCCTGTGCTCAGCAGTCATGGATGAGGGAGATGGCTTTCCTTTCATTGAAAATGGTGTTTGTCCTTATGAAAGTTAAACTGGGGGGGGGGGCTCTTTGGTGAGCTTTGAGTAAATTAAATCAGTGAATGTTGGTTACTGCTCGTGGAGACCCAATTGATGCTTATCTAGAGAGAGAGAGAGAGAGATTGAGATGGTTGGATTTTCCCTCGTAATCCATATCCAGATTCATTTCTCTAATGGACCCGTTTTGGGAAAGAATAGATATTAGCTTGTTCCCAGCTCCGAATACAGCACTGGTCATTACAGTAGCCGCACAGCTGTTGTCCAAACCACAGCTTTTTGTCTCTTGCTGTCCTGAAAAGGAGAAGAGAGACAGGACTGGATAGAAGGCCCATGAAATAAGAGACAACTTCATTGCTTCAGTGACTGTTGGAATATAGAATTGTAAAATGATGGAGTTGGAAGAGGCCTCTAAAGACATGGAGGTCCAACCCCCTTGCTCAAGGCAGGAATCCAAGTCAAAGCAGATCTGCCAGGTGGTGAGCCTAAATTTCTCTTGAAGGTTGGAGCACTCACCGCCTCCTGAGGTCCTAAGAACGTAAGTGGAGTCCTGCTGGATCAGGGCCCAAACCCTAAATGCCAGGGTGAGTCCCAAAATAGTCTGGATGCTGACTTAGTTTCCATGGATTCAGTGGCTGAAATCCTATTGCTTAGTGTAATAAGTGGGAACTTGAGTAGGCCCACTGGGACACCTCCTCTTCCTTCCTTCCTTCCTTCCTTCCTCCTATCCATGAGTTCTTTCCTTCCTTCCTTCCTTCCTTCCTCCTATCCATGAGTTCTTTCCTTCCTTCCTTCCTTCCTTCCTCCTATCCATGAGTTCTTTCCTTCCTTCCTTCCTTCCTTCCTCCTATCCATGAGTTCTTTCCTTCCTTCCTTCCTTCCTTCCTCCTATCCATGAGTTCTTTCCTTCCTTCCTTCCTTCCTTCCTCCTATCCATGAGTTCTTTCCTTCCTTCCTTCCTTCCTTCCTCCTATCCATGAGTTCTTTCCTTCCTTCCTTCCTTCCTTCCTCCTATCCATGAGTTCTTTCCTTCCTTCCTTCCTTCCTTCCTCCTATCCATGAGTTCTTTCCTTCCTTCCTTCCTTCCTTCCTCCTATCCATGAGTTCTTTCCTTCCTTCCTTCCTTCCTTCCTCCTATCCATGAGTTCTTTCCTTCCTTCCTTCCTTCCTTCCTCCTATCCATGAGTTCTTTCCTTCCTTCCTTCCTTCCTTCCTCCTATCCATGAGTTCTTTCCTTCCTTCCTTCCTTCCTTCCTCCTATCCATGAGTTCTTTCCTTCCTTCCTTCCTTCCTTCCTCCTATCCATGAGTTCTTTCCTTCCTTCCTTCCTTCCTTCCTCCTATCCATGAGTTCTTTCCTTCCTTCCTTCCTTCCTTCCTCCTATCCATGAGTTCTTTCCTTCCTTCCTTCCTTCCTTCCTCCTATCCATGAGTTCTTTCCTTCCTTCCTTCCTTCCTTCCTTCCTTACCTGTCTTATCCACCCACCCACCCATCCTTCCTTCCTTCCTCCTATCCATGACTTCCTTCCTTCCCTGTCTTATCCACCCATCCACCCATCCATTCGCCTTCCTTCCTTCCTTCGACTTTTATGCCACCCATCTAACCAGTGGTTATTTTGGTTAACTGAAGAATAACTTATTCTTCAACTTTTATCTGAGAATTATGATTTTAAATAGTTTTGATATGTTGGACTGTATTTTTAGCTGTCTTCTTTAGATGGAATATCAATGAAGAGAAATGGATGTCTCAATAATAAAGTCCTCTAGGTAGCTTCCCAAATAAAAGGAACGTCAGAACAGAATATAAAGTACTCAGAGAAGAGCTATTAAAACTATGACAGAATGAAGGATGGCCAAAGCTTTCCAGTGTGCAGAGTTGCCTCTGATACGAGTCTGTCCATGTTATTTTTCCCCCATTTTTAAAAACATCTCACTCCTGCCATCATCCAACCTCTTCAATGGCCGGAGGTATGCAGAGACAGGCTTCCCATTTGGCTAAGATGTCATGGTTATTGCCATCAAGTCATCTCCGACGTACGGCAAATGTATGCATGATTGATCTCCAGCATGCCCTGTCCTCCACAGCCCTGCTCAGCTCTTGCAAATGCAACCTTGTGGCTTCCTTTAGGTAGTCAGTCCATCTTGTACTGGGTCTGCTTCTTTTCCTGCTCCTTTCCACTTTTACCAGCATGACAGTCTTTTCCAGAGAACCCTGCCTTCTCAGGATGTGCCCAAAGTAGGACAGCCTCAACCTTGATTTGATCTAGGACCCCCTTGTTTGTCTTTGTGGCCATCCAGGGCATCCCCAAAGCTCTCCTCCTGCACCACATTTCAAGTGAATCATTTTTCTTCTCTGTCCAGCTCTCACATCCATCCATCGTGTTCAGGAATACGGGGAGCATGGAAGGATGCCCCTACATACCTCCAACCAATCAGGAAGCAGGAAAGGCTCTTCCCATCATAGCCCCTGGATCAACCTATCCTTGGCTCTAGCTCTGCTGATTGCTTTGTTAGTCTGGGGGTACATCTTTGCTCAAGCGGTGTCTTGGCTTAAGGTCTATCCCTAAACATAGTTACTGTGTAGATCTGAAGGGAAGCAGCCCAGTCTAGTGGTGTGTAAATCTGTGAAACCTCTTAATCTCCTCCACCTTCTCTTTTTTTTTTTTAACCTTATCCCCTTTCTGATTCATTTCCCAGTGGGTCCACCTTTTTTTTTCCTTTCCTGCACAAAACTTTGATCCTGTTTCCCAGTGTCTTTTCCAGAATGGACATTTTAGGATATGTGTCAGTATATTTAAAAATGCATACATTTTGGTATGGTTTTATTCTTTGCCTAAACCGTGCTTGTGCCCACTCCTCTACTACCCTGGGCATTTTTTTTCCAGATGGGTGCATTTTGGGGAACACATTTTTGCTTTCTGAATCACATCACAAGCTTGGATATGTGTATGGATTTCTCAGTGTGGAGAGATCTGAGGCCTAATGTAGTATGGCAATGGAACCAATGATCTCGAAAGGCGGTGAGTTCTCCAACACTAGAGGCATTCAAGAGAAATTTAGACAAATGTACCTCATTTAATTTGAATTCCTGCCTTGAGCAGGGGGGTGGACTTGATGGTCTTAGAGCAGTGGTTCTTAGCCTTGGGTTACTCAGGTGTTTTTGAACTGCAACTCCCAGAAATCCCAGCCAGCACAGCTGGTGGTGAAGGCTTCTGGGAGTTGCAGTCCAAAAATACTTGAGTAACCCAAGGTTAAGAACCATTGCCTTACAGCACCTTTCCAACTCCATGATTCTATGAATTGCTGGAGTTCAAGGGTAGAGTATCTGCTTTGCTTACACAGAATGTCCCAGATTCAGTTCCTAATATTTCCTCGTAGGCTTGGTGGGTAT